CAAAGGGTAGGCTGGGTTCATAAAAATCACTGCTGGCACAGAAATGCCACCAATGTATCTACCGTGTTAGTGGACTAGCATTTCGGTCTTCAGTGGAGAAGGACACAACCCTTTTCCTCGGCCTACTTTTCACATAATGCTTCAGAGTGATCAGGGCAGCTGTTCTCTTTTCTGCTTTCCACCACTTCCATACTGTAAAGTACCAAACTCCAGAAACTAGGGGCTGCAGCATTGCTCATAGCACTTACTGACCAGATACCATGGTTCTGAGCACAGTTGAAGAATCTAAACAGAGAGGATAGGCAGAGGCAGCTCCTGCTGAGGCACTGTGTGACAGCTGCCCAGAGCTTCCCATTGAAACATGATTAGGCAGACTACAGGGTGGAGGTGCATAACTGTGGTTGTGATGGCAGAAAAGCTTCTGCATTGAGACAAACTGAACCAAGTTATTTGTAACCAGTGAAGCTGACCATACCTTTAACTGATTAAAAAATTAGTGAGACTGGGGGCTTTCTTGCGTGGGAACATCCCTCTGCCTCATCAACCCTCACAGCAAAAGGGTGGCAAAGCTTATTAATTCTGGGTCAAATCCTGACCTCCCATTACAAGAGCTTGGATGGTCTCAGATGCAGCACAAATGTTGTGCTGGTTCTTGGGGAGCACAAAAGACAGCATTTGAGGAGCCTGCAAAAGAGATGTGCACTCCCTGCACAATGCAGAGCTATATGGGGGCTCTCTGGTGGATTAAGCCTAAAAGGGGCCTGGATCCAATCTACCCAGATCTATCTATCATACTGACATGGCCCCCATTGTAGTATTTGAGTGCCTCGTAGTTATTCATATACTTATCCTTACAGCATCCCAGTTATGTACAGAAGTACTATTGTGGTCATATTACAGGTGGGGAAGTGAGGCATATAGGAGAATAAGTGACTTGCCCAAGGCCACACAGGAAGCACAAAGCAGTAATTGAACCTAGATTGCCTGAGGCTACATCTACACTACAGGGGGGAGTCGATTTAAGATACGCAAATTCAGCTACGTGAATAGCGTAGCTGAATTCGACGTATCGCAGCCGACTTACCCCGCTGTGAGGACGGCGGCAAAATCGACCTCTGTGGCTTCCCGTCGACGGCGCTTACTCCCACCTCCGCTGGTGGAGTAAGAGCGTCGATTCGGGGATCGATTGGGACGCGATAAATCGATCCCCGAGAGGTCGATTTCTACCCGCCGATTCAGGCGGGTAGTGTAGACCCAGCCTGAGTCTCAGGCTAATGCCCGAAACATTGGACCCAATAAAAGAAATGATCAACCACAACATAGCCAAGTGGCTTTTAAACCTGACAAGGCTACCTCACACTCTCCAGTTGGCAGACCCCAACTCTCTCTGGCATTATCACACCATTCTACAACTCATGGATCAATGTGTGCACGCCTCCTTCCAGCTCATGGCTTAGATCCATGGATCTTGCTTTAATCCAGCCCTGAACCAGTGGATCTCAGCTATTTCCCTTTATCCTTTCAACAAAAACTAAGTATTATGGCTGGAGACTATAAAGTCTCTATTCCATTTCTAATCATTTTAATTTTTTCCTTGTTTTCTTACCAACTTTTATTTACCTCCATCATGTGTATGCACACTCTCATTTATTATTGTATGGCTGTTCATAAGAGGTAGAATGCTGACATTAGTTATTTTTAAGGAGTACTGAACCATTTGAGTTGGAAAGAAAGACAAAGAAAAACCTGCATGTACTTTACAACGAACAGCTTACATTGCAGATGGGGGTGGGGAACAGGTAGATCATATTTTTAGAGCCAGCCAGTTTTGACATTGGTGCCTATCTTACACCCATTTAAGTATTCATTGTCGTCAATGAGAAGAGGATAAGTCCCAGTGTCTCTCTACTACAGAGTAAGGAAGAAACAGTTGATTCAGAACTGCATCTTTAAAAACACATGCACACACATTCCAATGAAAAGACCCAGGAGGCCTGTAAATATATTTCAGTAGGTAATGTGTTCTACCCTTCAATAAAATTCTGTAGGCAGAGAATACATTTTACATCTGAATTTTCCCACTTTTTTTAAAGTTCTTAATTTTTAAATGATATTTATTGCTATTAGAGAGACAAGGTGGGGGAGGCAATATATTTTATTGGACCAACTTTTTGAGTTTACACAGAACTTGTCTTCAGGTCTCACTGCAAACAACATTTATTGCTATGTAATATGACTTTGTGGTTGGGCCTTTTTTTAAATTTATGAATTTATTAAAAACTGAACAGAATATGATTTGTGTCATTTCAAACAATAGAAACAACTACTTGGTTCAGGGAGTTGAACAGGGGAGTTAAAAATATGAACCAAATGATCAACCTTTTCCATTTTTATTGACTGTGGCTAGAAAAAAAATGAAAATGATGCCAGTCACAGTCATGTTAACACTAGAGATAACATTTAAATTTTTAGCAGGGTTATTTATGTATTTATTTTCATTTTATCAGGTACTTCTAAGGACATTTTTAAAATATATATCAGACGCACACAGTGTTGTGACCTTTTTTCATCGTTGATGTAAACAACATAATTGCTTACACTGATTAAAAAACCACATACAAATAAGTTAGTCTTTCTTGCTACACAGAAATCCAGTTCTTTGAAAGTAGCACAAAGGGAAAAAAATAAAATAAAGAAAAGCAACCTCCATATCTCCCCAAATCTTTCTAAATGGTGGGGCAAAGAATAATAAAACACAGAGCTTCAAGAATTGTCTCTTTTAATGCTGTCTGATCGATGAAATTCTTGTCCCAGTCGACAAACACCCTCACAAACTCCCTGCTGTATGTTTATGTGGCTGGTATGGTGCATTATGTGCTAATGTTCCACTGAAAGAGCCTCCCTCCAAAATACAGAGTGGACAATGCACTGTCGGAGGGATTGGCAAGCGAGTGAGGAAGGGACACATTTCACATGTCAAAACAAAGTTCTTATCTGTCTCCAGAAGAACGAACAACAGATACAGAAGGCCATTTACATAAAATGATTACTAGCATTTACTCCAATGGGAGTATCATTTGTAAGTGAGTCCATAGGTTTGGCACTAAATCTTATATTCCAACTCCAGGGTTGAAAAATTAGATTATCCTTCCATTGGCCTCAATAACTATGTTTGCTAAAGAAAGAAAGAAAAAAAAAAGATGTAAAAGATGACATGCATGTCTGAGGCTGAAGAAAAGCATCTTTGCGCCCAGTACTTTGGAGAAAATGTTTAGCTGCAGCTCATCCTTATGTAAATACTGTTTCTGTAGTTTTGCCAAGGTCAGTGTCAGCTTGGATAACTTTCTGTATAAATGCCAATCATGCAAATAAAAGTTGCACAAGACAGCACTAACATACAAATCAGTTGCATTCACAAAACATTGTATTGTTTGCTTGTTCTAGCCAGAGTCTTCCCATTTTTCCTCCTTCTCTTGCTTTCTTTGACCTTGAGTTTTCTTCCTCACCCTGTTCAGTAAGACGGAACCATTAGAGCAGGGTGGGCAAACTACGGCCTGCGGGCCACATCCGGCCCGCCGGACCGTCCTGCCCGGCCCCTGAGCTCCTGGCCCGGGAGGCTCGCCCCAGGCCGCTCCCTTGATGTCCCCCCTCCCCCGCAGCCTCAGCTCGCTCACTCTGCCGCCGGTGCAATGCTCTGGGCAGCGGGGCTGTGAGCTCCTGGGGCAGCGCAGCTGCAGAGCCTGTCCTGACCTGGTGCTCTGTGCTGCGTGGTGGTGACAGAGGCAGCGTGGCCTGACTCCAGCCAAGTGGCGCAGCTGTAGCGCCACCAGTGCTCGAGGCAGAGCAGTAAGGGGGCAGGGAGCAGGGGGGGGTAGAGGTGGTGGTGGGGGAAACAGGGGGATAGAGGGCACGGGAGTTCGGGGTTGTGGTTGGGGGGGTGGATGGTGGTGGTGGGGGAAACAGGGGGTTGAATGGGGGCAGAGGTCCCGGGGGCA